TTCTTATAATACAGCTGACAGTTGACTGTGGAATATTTAGGAGCGAGGAAATTTCACGACTGGATTTGTTGCACAGGTGGCATCCTATCACAGTTCCACGCTGGAATTCACTGAGCTCCTGAGAGCGACCCATTCTTTCACAAATGTTTGTAAAAACAGTCTGCATGCCTAGGTGCTTGAATTTATACACCTGTGGCCATGGAAGTGATTGGAACACCTGATTCCGATAATTTGGATGGGTGAGCAAATACTTTTGGCAATATAGTGTATGTTTGGGGTTACAGTCCTACCAACAATGGATCCTGGATGCAGTTTCAATCACATGCATTGATAGGTCCGGCCTGGCCAATACTTGTAGCTACAAAAAAAGTATTCAAGCTCCTTTGATATAACACACTAGATACACACAACAACTAAATGCTAATCTGATAGCCTTAATGTTAAATGAAACTTTAGAAAAACATATGGAACAGGTCTCGGTCTGGACCTGGTTGCCTGCTGTGGACCACATGAAACACCAAGCTCCGAGTTTAACAGCAATACATTAAATCACCAGATACAGTGAACATCTTCTTTACTGTTCAAGTGCAAGTTTAGAGACACATATCATTCACCAAAGGTGCGTTTAACCCGTAGCCCTTGGTATGCTAACATTTATCTCAATAACAAAAAGTGGTGCAGTTTTCCTTTAAGGTATAGGTGACATCACAACGGCCGTAATGGCATCAAACAGTCACATAACAGTCGTGACCATCACTTCGATAGCTCAGCTGGTAAAGGGGAGGACTGTAGATGTTGAATGACTGAAATCCTTAGGTCGCTGGTTCAACTGCGGCTCGAAGGAAGGGGTTTTTCTTCGTTTTGTCTACCAGCGTCTATCCAAATGTTGCTCAGTCCACAGCATACAGACAGCTTCTATAAAAAACTATGATCTCTCCTGTCAATGGTTTCATTCAAACCACTAAAACACTGTGTGAGCTTAGTGGTTCCCTAAGAGTCAGGGTCAGAGGTCAGCACCAACAACACCAAAACATTATTCTGATGAGGAATAATTCACTGAGAATTTACTAACCTGTTCTCTGAGGCCACCATGGTCTGATAGGTCTAATTGATTCACCAAATTACAGATCCCAGTCAGATAATGAAAAACTATGACACATTTGTCCATCAAGTGTGTGACTGTTTGATGCCATTATGGCCGTTGTGATGTCAGCCTGTAGTTTCTGAACGTAAGTGAAGCTGCTCTGACTTTGTGAAAGACCTTTTACAATCAACACACAGTGACCTTATGGCCTTATCCATTATTCCACACTACTAAATGCTAATCTGCTAGCCTTATTCTACCCTTAATGTTAAATGGAACTTTAGAAAAACATATGGAACAGGTCTCAGTCTGGACCTGGATGCCTGCTGTGGACCACATGAAACACCAACCTCCGAGTTTAACAGCAATACATTAAATCACCAGATAAATACACCTTCTTTACTGTTCAAGTGTAAATTACAAACACACATATCAATCCGCCAAAGGTGCGTTTAACCCGTAGCCCTTGGTATGCTAACATTTAGCTCAATAACAAAAAGTGTTGCAGTTTTCCTTTAAAGTATAGGTATACTTCCTGAACATTATTAGTGATGTGACATGAGGTGTCACACCTCACAGCAGAGTGGTGCAAAGGAAGTGTGCTGGGCCCATAACCCAGAGGTCAATGGCTCGAAACCATCCTCTGCTAGCTGAAACCTTCATCATGTTTCCCTGCTGCATTTACATCTCAACAGTCGCTTTCTTAAAAAGTTGGGCACATCCCCTTGGAGGGTGTATAAGAATGAATGAAAAAAAATCATTGCTTGACAGCTTTTTGAGAAGGCTCCTGTAAAGCACTTTTAAATTTTATAACCAGTTCCACTGAGATTTGAACTCAGATTGCTGGATTCAGTGCGATGACCTTTACACCTTGGAACCCTTTAGCTTTTATTATTGGTAAAAGGCTTAAATAGCTGGGAATAGCTCAGCTGGGAGTACATTGCATGTAGAAAATGTTTCATTTCAGGTCCTTTCCACTCAAGTGGGAGAGCGTTAGACTGAAAATCTAAAGATCCTGTCGTTTTGCAGACAGTAGATGGGAACATTGTACTTTGTTAGCACTCCTTGTCAAACCACTGTCTTCAACACTCCCAGAACAACGGTTTATCGTTATATAGATCTAATATGGAAGGAGAAGCCTTAATTCAGGTTAGTGAAACAGGCCAGTTAGCTCAGCTGGTCAGAGCGTGGTGCTAATAACGCCAAAGTCATGGGTTCAAGCCCCATACTGGCCACAGAGTTATGATTGTGTGAGACTTGTATGAAAAAAGCTTTGAAACATGTGGAGCCCTGAATATCATCAGTCATTCATAAAGTATTTGTTTATTCTCATGTGTAGCCTGGACAATGACACAGATGTCTTATTAAACTGAGTGTGAAGTCTCTTCTTCACTTTAAGGAAAAATCAGACTTTGTGCCAACTCACTGAGGTGAAAATGTCTCCTGTGGCCAGATGCTTTAATCTAAACTTCCTCCTCAGTTGGACATGTTTTACCTTAAAAAGGATGACCATTGTCAGAGTAAACCTGCTTTAGTTCATTCTCTCCATCTTTCAGGGGAAACACTGGTGTTAGGCTGGCTGAAGAGGAAAATAGCAGGTCAAAGTACAGTGTTTTTAAAATATGTACATTTCCTGCAGTACTTTCTGACTGACTGAAGTGATGAATTGTTCCTAGTTCCTAGTATGTGTATGGGTACACATACGTTTTTTCCTTCTAATCAGTCCCAGCCACTGCTCTTTAGTTAGAGTTTCACCAGCCAGACAGTAAATCTGTCCTCTGTATTGGCTGTGTCCTGTTTAAGTACTTTTTAGGCAAAACCTTGTGGTTAGTAATTAAATAAATATAACAAAGATTCCCTTCACATTCTGACCTCCTGAGCCCAAACCAAAAGAGCCATTATAATAAGCGTGATACCAATAGACTGAGGAAGGCATCTGTGTTTGTCATTTTTAAATCCAGCTAGAAATGTGCCAACGGGAGAGATTTCTAAACATGAAACTTTTTTGGTCTGTTTTATTTCTCAGTCAGATTTTAACAATGGTTTTCATTGTAAACCTTGAAGGATACCTCTGACGCTGAAGCTCACTGCTCATAGTATCAAAGCTGAAGCTCTTTGATAGTTACATTATCTGAAAGAGGAGAAATGTCCCTATGTTTTAAAGTATAGTTTGTATATGAAAGTTCAATTCAATTCAGTTTTATTTATATAGCGCCACATCACAACAACAGTTATCTCACAGCGCTCTGATTGAATGCCTTCAAAGGCATTCTCACAATAAACATTTTCCATTTGATCTTGTACTGGGATCTTTCTGGGATCTGCGCTCCCAGAATGAAGGGTTACTGGCAGTTCCTAGAGTCTTGAAAACTAGAATGGGCGCTAGAGCGTTCGGCTATCAGAGTCCTCTTTTGTGGAACCAGGTTCCAGTTTGGGTCCGGGAAGCAGACACCGTCTCTATATTTAAGAGTAGGCTTAAGACTTTCCTTTATGATAGAGCTTATAGTTAGAGTAAGTCCACCCCTGGTTGTGCTGCTATAGGCCTAGACCGCCGGGGGATGCATCATGATGCACCGAGCTCCCCTTTCCTTTCTCTCTCTCCCTCCCGGTGCAACCTCATTCCATTAACAATGTTACTAACTGGACTCTCTCCCTTCCCCGTAGTCGTGTGCTTTCTCGTCCCCCTTCTCTCTTCTCTCTCTCTTCCTAACACTTTCTGCAGATATTCCTGGCTCTGGAGCTGTGGGGTCTGGATCTGTGGTTGGGAGTCTCCTCCTATCACTTCCTGCAGGTGTTCCTAGAGCTGTGGAGTCTGGATCTGTGGTTGGGAGTTTCCTGATGTCCCCGTGTTCCTACTTTGCTACAATTACAGCCACTGTTCATAGTCTTATTGCTATCATTACAGCTATCATTATCATTAGTATCAATATCTTTACTATTTTTCATCCAGTCTGTGTGTTACTGTGTAGGCTGCCTCCCTCTGCCCCCCACTTGAGGTAGATAATCCCACCCTGAGCCATAGTTCTGCTCCACGTTTCTGGCTCTTAAAAGGCAGTTTTTCCCTCCCTGTGTCTCCTAGTGCTGCTCTTGGTGGGAACTGTTGTTATTCTGTAAAGAACTGAGCTGCTCTGTTTGGAAAGCTGGGAGATAACTGTTGTTGTTGTGATTTGGCGCTATATAAATAAAATTTAATTTAATTTAAATCCGTCTCTTTTTGCAAAGACTCAGGTTCTGGGCGATCCTACACAGGTCCCCATCCCAGAGCCAAATAAAATTAGTCACCAGCAGAGATAACTTGCCAGAGTAACTTGAAATGATGGTAAATACAGAAAGTATGATTTTATTGAGTCAAAGTGACAAAACAAACAGCTGACAGTTACATACTCCCGGTTTGGTTTTCATGCACCACCAAATTTCAAAATAAAACATATCAGATGCGGATAAAAAAGAAAATAAATGAATTTGAATTGGGCCATAAAGTAAGAAACTCAAAATAATGAAACCACCTCCACACTTTTCTGCTTTATGAGAAATCTGTGGAAGAGAAGTTAGTGGTTGAGTGGATATCTGGGCTGGGATACTTTGTGCATTTCTGCCTTTAAAGTCTCTGATTGGACCTTATTCGTGTTGGCCATGTTGTTGTTGTTGGAAGTTTTAAATGCACAATTCAAAGACAGCAGCGTGTCTTTTATGTTTCAGCCTCAGAGTGAAAGTTCCAGCAGTTTCTGAGCAACTTTCTCAGCTGATTGGAAGCCTTTTGGCACATTTCCTCAGCCTGGGGCTCAGCAAGTACGAGATGGAGCTGCAGCAGTTCACAGCTTGATGAACTTTTTGTGGCCACATTTTAAGTTGTGCAAAAGTCCCTGAGTGGCTGTAGACCCCCACCAGCCTCCATTGTCAGGGTTTGGGCCCCTCACCACAGCTTCAGCTCTCTGGAAAGGCAGGGGTCAACCTTCCTGAGAGCCTCTAGCAGAGTTTTGCTGCTTTCATGTCCCTTCCTCATCACAGTATCAATCACATCTGGAGCTTTCTCTGCTCTGGCCTTCGTCTTTGCTGTCTGCATCTCCTCATTGATCATAGCACCGTGCTGAAGGAGTTTATCCAGTAGCTGGTTCAGCACAGAATCAGAGACTCCATTAATGAACCGCACCCAGACAGCAGACAGTCTGTCCTCTGCTTGGAGTCCTGGGATATCCCTCTGTGAAGATTCCCGTCTGGGACTGTTGTGAAGGACTAGGGACTTCCCATATTATCAGGTTGCCTCCTTATGGCTGTTTTACGTCCTGTGCGTGCGACCCTCGTGACTACACCTGTGGAGTGTATTGGGGTGCGAGTCCGAGGGTCGCATGCGCACACGCCAGTGGATGGAGAGATAGAGAGGAAAGGACCCCTTTCTTTCTGTGGACTTTTTGTGCCATTTTGGATGTTGTTGTGTGTTCATAAACCGTAAGTTTGGTATTCTTGTTTATGAGTGAGCTGTTTCATGTTAGTTTGCAGAATGTTATGGTTAATATAAGCGTATGTTTACGATGTTTACATTTATAACGCGCGTGTCGCGCGTGTCTCGCGTATCGCGTGTCCCGCGATTATGTAAACAATGAAGCAATAACTTTTTCTTGCCGTATAAAACGGATATGAAGCTGCTTAATTAATTATCTGTTTATATTACGGTGTAATATATTAAAGTAGTAGTGTTTAGTTATCCATTTTTACATGCGTGTTAGCATTGATTAGCCGTGTTGCTATTAATGTTGTAGTTACCACATATACGTTTCTAATAGGCAATGTTATATTTTGTTTACCTTTAGAAACCACAACTTCACAACTTTACAACTTCACAACTTCACAACCACAACTTCATAACTTAACATGTAACAACTGAAGAACAACTGCAATAAATACTCTGGAAACTTTCATCATGCCTGCATTTTAATCAGATGCCCCACGGCGGCTCCTACAGATTTAAAAGGATCAGTCAAAACAGGGACCTTAAAGGAAAGCAGAGAAATGAACAATCAAATGCTGGTTTCTGCATAAACATTGGCACAAGGCAGCGGTGGCAGCTGGAGCTCCATGACAGAAAAGTTAATCAGAAATGGAGAACAAACAAAGGCTCCACCTTTAAAACTTTGTGGAGTCGGGCTTTGGGCTCTCTGAGTTGGGCTCTGGTTTGGATTGACAGTCGTCGGAGCACAAAGGCTCTTTTTCTGCTGGATCCTTCATCCTCACTGCAAAGTTACACAGGAAAATGAAGATTTATTGTCTTTTTTTAGGAGAAAACATGAAAGATGATGTTTTTAGGACAGAAAATATCCTGCATGAGCATCTTTCCACAAATGTACTGACAGCTGTAGGTTTCTCTATCTGGCCTGAGTCAACTTTAAAAAAGGAAAACCTTCAGAATTACACCGACAATAACCTCATTGATAAAAATCTTAAGTCAAACAGCTATTGGCTGATGGTTTAAACGTGATATCAGGCTGACATGTTTTAGGCCTAAAGACTCTGATCTGACTCTGGGTGGATTAGAGGAGGGACACCAGACAGTCTCACCCCGAATGGCTTTTCTCCTCAAACACTGTTCAAACATGCAAACACAAGAGTTTGAGCTTTTGATTCTTTGTGAAATTCCAGAGGTTTTAAGACTTAATCCCAGGTAAAGAATCCTGGAGTTTGATTGGACTCAGACCTGAACGTCAGCAGTTACATCAAAGCTGAAGCTAAGACAGCTCTTTCCCTCTTCAAACTGCCCGATTAGAGCTTTATCCTGTTTGTGATCCTTTCCTCTGACCCTCCACAATCAGAATCCAGTGCCCACCCATCCTGCTTCCTGCAGGCTGGACTTTTTTGCCATAAAGCCTCCACAGTGTGCCATCTAATGACCCCGAGCGACACAGACTCCCCCCGTTAACGCTGGCTGTGGACAGGCACTCACAGCTTTTGTCTCTGGAGGATTTCTTCGTCCAGCCATGAAAACTGTGGAGCAAACACAAGCAAACAGAGAGTAGAGAGAGAGAGAGTAAAGAGAGAGTAGAGAGAGTGAGAGAGAGAGAGAGAGGAGAGAGAGAGAGAGAGAGAGAGAGAGAGAGAGAGAGAGAGAGAGACTTCAGTCAGTCTCTGTCCCATCATTCCTTCAGGAATAACCATTTATCTTAATAGACACATCAAAGTTAAGTAGCCAGTGAAGAAGAATAAAAAACATTCTGTTTAATATTCTGACAGGAAACAACCCAAAATAAAACATTTAAGTCTCTTTGTTTTATAAAAAAAGCTATCTCAGTCATCCATAAGATCTGAGCGTGACCACCAGGGGGCGCCGAGAGCAATTACAGGCAGAGTTGGGTAATTTCTCTCCTCATTTCTTTGCATATTTGAGTGATAATTCCTATCATCAAAGGCAAAACACCTTAAAGCAAACTTGCAAATCTGTTTTTCTATGTTCATTAACAATACAACAGACAAATAGTCTAGTATTCCAATGTAGTTTCCCAGTGACACATTAGAAGGTCAAACCAGTTTCCTGTGGCTGTGAGAGTGATCAATAATGAGAATTATTGGTAAGAAATAGATGGCTGAAAAGTCATTGTGTCTCCTAGAGGCTTAGATTGGTACTGCATCTGCCTTTTTTTCTCAAGTTCATTTGAGCTTTGTACTTGGTTTTCGGTTAAAAACCCTTGTGGTGGGTCTGCATAGAGCTTCTTTCTTCCCCCATCACAGCATTCATTCAAGGGTTGAATAAGATAAACAACTCTGATCTAGAACAGTGGAACTGCTCAGGCTTTAAGCTCTGGGGACTCTGGAAGTAAAAAAAACCCTGTCGCCACGAGGCTGTTTATGCACACACAAAATAACCAGAGAGGCCCTTTTTATCCCCGCAGGCCTGCAGAACACAAAAGGTGTTCAACCTGCAGCCAGAGGCAGGAAAAGACAGCCCAGCTCCCCCTCTGCTGACCTCACAGTCTCCAGTGGACACTCAGGGCTGTCCACCAGAGCACACAGACTCTCCTCAGCGGGTTCTCCCAGGTAGATTCCACCCAGGTCCAGTTCCACTAGCTGGGAGAGGTTTGACTTCAGGGCTGATACCAGAGACCTGCAGCTGATAGCAGACAAGCTGCACTCCCACAGTCTGAGGAGAGCAAAGGACAATCTGAGTCCAATCACATTCAGAATAAAGAATAAAAGCTGTGAGCTGAAGACTTTACCATGAAGAGCAGCACAGCTTTCAGCTCATCCTCTGATCTGAACTAACCACTAAAACCTGGAGTCTGACCTCAGAGTCTTCAGTCCACAGAGTGGACTCTGCAGAAAGCTGCTCAGCTCCTTCATCACACACTCAGAGATGGTGTTCCTGCTCAGGTCCAGTTCTGTCAGATGGGAGGGGTTGGACTTCAGAGATGAGACCAAAGAAGAACAGCTGGTCTCTGACAAACTGCAGCCCCACAACCTGAATAAAGAATAAAAGATGTGACCAGAAAGCCAACAGGATGCAGGTTACAACAGTCAAACCGAACCAGAGAAAAAGAGCTCTCATTCACATTAATGACAACATGCTGCTGCTTCATAAAGACACAATGACTACTTATAGACTAATTATTCCACTTTCAAAGAAAATAAAATATGTCAGAAGGAATCGGGGAGGAAATGGAACCAATTAATAAAAATGGAGATCAAATCCACAGTTTGATTGGAGCTTAAAGGTAGAAGACATGCTGTTGTGATGTCTAATGTTTGATAGAATAATGGATCTAACTTCTTTCCAGAGCTGACAGAAGCACAACTTGTTACTGTGACTTGTTGTGTTTGAATAGTTCAGCCACAACAAACATTCCAGAGTCTTCTACCAGTGTTGAAGCATCTAGAGGTGGACTGACTCCTCAGTCTGGAGGATCAATGGATGCTGATGGACTCTGACAAACCCTCACAGTCAGTGGAGCCTGA